AGCCAGCCAGCATCCCTCCTGCGGAAGCAGGAGCAGGACAGCAGCATTTGCTCCCCAAAACAGGGGTTAGCTAGTACAGAACTAAGCAGAAAAGAAAGCAACGGGGAAGCCCTAAATTTAAATGAGAACCAAAACCACTAATACTTCATTATCTCTAAAAACCAAAATTCTTTTTTTAGTATGCAATTAAGTGCAATTCCTCTACAATTATGGTGAAGGCCTGCCTTCCTGCCTGCCTTCCTTCCTTCCTTCTTTTGCTGAGGAAAGGAAGATATGGAAACAGATACACAGCTTATTTAAATTTCATTCAATTTTTAATGAAAAACATCTTGCTGTAATCTACTGTTCAGCCAGAGCCAACCTGAACTGAAATGGACTTAGCAAGGAGTCCCTGACAGGGAAAAGGAACCCTGCACATACCTAACTGTGGTGACACCACCATAGTGACTCCATGGTAGGGAACAGCCCCCTTGTAGTCAGTCAGTTAGATGAAGTCCTTGATGAGTAAAATTCTGTCTTGGCAACAGCCGAGATCCTGTCACAACCATTGGAAGCGTTGATCCCCTCACACCAGTAAGCACGGTTACGATCCCTCAAAAGGAGAACTCAGTAAAGGAGCACAGACTTGACCTCAGCAGCAGCATTTTGTGTGGTCACCTGCCTGCTGTGTGCCAGCCCCACTTCCAATTACACAGATGCCAGGGAAGCAGCAACTATACAGTGCTGTAAGCTTGGAAAAGAGCAGAAAAACTCTTTAATTACCTCAGAAATAAAGCAGACTTCCTATAAACAAAGTAACTTTTTAGAATTACTTTCCAATAATTGTTTAAATGTATTTTTAGTGGAATGAAACTGAAGCAAAATGTTCCTATTTGAGATTACCCCTAGAAAAGGCCCTGAGCAGTGCTCCCCCCACACAAACCTGAACCAGCCATTCCCTCCTGCACCCGCTCAAATGGGTGGCCAAGGTCTCCGGACTGCAGAGCAGGGGAGACCACGTGTCACAGGAGGAGCTGGAATCCTGCTCTCTCCGAGAAGCGAGGAGGAGAACCTAGACACGGGACTAGTCAGAAACAAACTGTTTCTGAAGAGCCTAACATACGCAGAGGGCTGGCTGTGGTATTGTCAGTGGCGACTGTGCTGTTCGACTCTTCAGAAAATGGGATCTGGGCCCCCAAAGTTTCTTAGCTACTTCCAGAGAGGAAAAGTCACCCGAAACTCTTGAGTTGCTCCCATAACTTTAAAACCTTGATAGTCTGCTGCCTTCTCAGGGCAATTCTGTATTTACTTCTTGTACCAAACCTTTCCTGGAGACTCACCCACACAACTGGCACGGCAGCTATATGAACTGATGCCCGCCAGCTCTCAGCCAGGTACAGCTTTGCTGCAGACTCCACACAGGTTAATTGCTCGAGTAGACACCCAGCTTCTCGGGCAGGTTCTGCAGTCCATGCTGGCCTCCACACTAGTTGACCGTGCCGGAAGGAAGAGCTGCAGTGCAGGCGTGCCACGCGTACACCCGCAGCCTGGAGGTACAATGGGGGAGTGAACCTGTGCAGATACCAGTGCCACCAACCATCCACAGTAACGTCAGCACAGCAAGAGTCACCCCCACAAATAGGTGGGGTCAGCCTGCTTCCTTTGCTCTTGGTTAACTCCTCAGCTAGTATTTCTGTAGCTTGGCAGTTAGACACTCTACGGGTGTCTGACCCAGAAAGTACCAGTTTAGTTCAAACCACAGAAGCAAGAGTAAGTTTGGTTGTTCTTCTGTAACAACGGACGTTTCCAGAGCTGAAGCCCTATAGACACTGAGCCCAGTGTACCATAAGCCCAAGGTCTTCAACAAAAGAGTTTTCTCCTGTTGATGTACAACCAAGGTTCACTTGCTAGGGGTCTACATAAGCACATTCCAATGTGTTTTCATCACACAAACTCTTTGGAGTATTCATCAAAAATATTTAGAATAAGTATTACCATGATTTCTGAAGCAGTTTGCAAGAGTTTAAAAATACCACAGTGTTGACTGTTTACACCCCCAATATTCTTCTCTACTGTCGCTGCAAGACGTGAATGCAAAAGGCCTGGTCAACCAGCAAACAAAGAATACAGACTGGAAAAGCGCCAGGGAAATGAAAAGGTTTTATATTCTTTGCGAGAATGTTTGAGTCACTTGGCCTACTAAAAGTGTTTTGAGGTACATTCACTGTTGAGTGCATTTGTTTTCCAGGCTCACTGCCACTACATCACTGTGAAAAACTTTGCAGAAACTGTGGAAAAACTCGAGACCAAGGCTGGTATCCAGAAGATTATGAAACATCTTTGTGACCTCTTTGCATTACACGGGATCTTCTCGAATGCAGGAGCCTTCCTGCATGACGGATACATATCTGGAGCTCAAATGGACATGGTCACAGCATCATACCTGGACCTCCTGGCTGTCATTCGGTGAGCCACTCTAGCATGAGAGGAGATACACAGCTATTCAGTTTGTCTCTGCAATAGATATAAATTGGTGCTGCTGTACCTATGGCAACATCTCCAAAGTCATTCAACTCATTCGGTTTATATTTTCACTGCCTGGCAGCACTAGAAATTGATTGAAACACCTACACAGAGCTCTTTTTCACAGCAAAACAGACCTCAGTGTCCAGCTCCTCTGCAATCTCTAAATTAAAGTTCTGTAACATGAAATGGTAAATTATAAATCAAGAAATCCCAACCACTTTCTACCATTTGCAGTAGAGTGAAAGCAGGAAAATCAGTCAGAGCAGCACTGGCAGGAGGCAGCCACAGCAACCCATCATAGACTGCAAAATCTGCTTAAGCCGCAGCTAATACAGCCTACTCTGTTAACATGGCTGAGTTGCAACTGGTACCCAAACAGCCCTGCCTACAGCTAGCTCAGATGCACCTGCTTGACAGCATTTACTACTAACTACGTGAATTCTGAGATATGCTAAGGTTTGAACTTACCACAACACTCACAAAGGATTTTTGACAAAAGGTTCATCTCTCACCACTCAGAGCTGTTCGCTAAGAACAGTTTAACTTATGGTGCAAAGCAGTGAGTTGCTACTGTACGTAAAATCTACTTAAGCCACCTGGGGAGAAACCAGAACACGCCATAACTAAGAGCTGAACAGGACTCAGCCAAACAGCAAGCGCTTTCAGCACTGACCACAGAATTCAAGTGAAGCAATAAGCTTAACATAATGTTTTCGAAAGCATAATGTGTTGTCGTCTCTGAAATTCATTGCAACTTTTCTGTGTTAGTCCATGCCTTGTTAACAGGATTCAGGAATGGAGTGGGTATTTACCTGGGTAATTAGAGTCAGTTATTTACAATTAGGAGAAAGGATACAAACACTTCCTGGTCTGTAAAACTCAGCCTTTCCCAAACCCCCAGCCAGCCCTGCCCCAAACAGAACTGGCAGATGCAAACCACTTTGCGTCCCCGTACCTCAGGTGTGGGGTACAGACAGCAGGACTGCCCATGCCAAGCATGATGGGAGGATGAGGGAGAAAAAACCATCTCTGGCCTAGGAGAAGATGCTGTCATTACACACTTATCCTTACGCTCCAGCTCTCTGTTGCTGACTGCCGTCACACTGGCCCCTGGGCTAGAAGGGCCCTCAGCACAGTTCAGGGTTGCTTTGTTCTTACAGACACAAAACAAGTAGCAGACCTTGACACCTCACAATGAGGTAACAGAAATACTTCAGAGTAGACGAAGGCTGGAGATCAGCAAAGCGCTTCACATCAATCTAGTAGCAACTTTATTCCATTCTGTAAGACAAACACATACAGCGTAAGAACAAGAAAAAAAAACCAACAAAAACCCAAAGCAAGAACTGGCAGAGTCTGCTGAGAGAACATCTGACATGAGAATGAGTCCTAAATTAGGGACAGTCCCCAGGTGATTAGAAGACCCTGCAAATACCTGTTCAACAATACAGACAGCGCAGGGCATTAGTAGAACACGCCTCTGAGGAATCAAAACAAGCAGGATTTTCCCCACAGCGAAGGCAAAGGGAAAACCGGCACAAGCACTTTAGACTGAAGAACCCGGACTTTCACTTTTGACTTCTCTTCCTCCCTTACAAAGCAATATCTGCTTCAGTAACACGAATGTTGTTCATCTACACCGTAGGCCGGATGCTGTTCCGCTCGTGGATGCTTTTGACTTCACAGATAAGAACTTGAATTCTGCACTCGGCAGTTACGACGGACAGATTTACCAACGGCTTTATGAGTGGGCTCAGAAGTCACCGACCAACAAGCAGGTATGGATGCTGGGCTACAGCCAGGCAACTTCCGCATCAGCCAGAGCAGAAATTGTTTTTCTTTTAATAAACACAATACAGATAAAAGTAGGTGGAATAATAGCCTTTAATTCCTAGTATCTCACTCTGAACAACGACCTGTGACACTCCAGTTATGCCACCTACAGTCTTAGCGCAGACATTTAACCTCATGACGAATTACAGCACCCAGAGTACTACAGCGTGTCCCAGGGAGCTGGACTGTCACGTACCACCAGCCTGTCTTTGGTTTTCAAACTTGCATCACTGAGGTAATATTGTATAAAATAAGCTAAAACAAAAGTCTGTTCACATAGTTTACGTATTATTGAACAACACTAGATGGCTGTGAGCGCCACTCATCGCAAGCTCCCTTCCATTCACAGGTACTTTTACCAGTGCAATACTTTTTTTTTTTAACAATATGTTTAACCAGAAAGAGTACAAATGTTAAACAAGGCAATTTCATCCTTCATGGTCTTTAGCACTTTACTTTCACTTAATTCACCCATATTGTGGAGTAATGTAAGCTTCTGCACGACGCAAACAGATATTGCCGTGTTTGAAAACTCATTTTGCCTTAAGTGAGATTTTTACTGTGGTAATCAGCAACCCTTTGAAATTCTACAGCTGAACACAAAATTTGCCTTCAGTAAACATTCACATTCAAGCGTATTTTTTTTGCAGTTAAATGGTATGCTGTCCCATTTGGGGCGAGTATTGTGTACTGGTTACAAAGGACAGCACATACTATAGGTAAAGAGATCTTGCACATAGCCGAAGTAGCTGGTTGGTTATTTGGGGTTTTTTTAAATACTTTAAATTTCTGTATACCAGAGATCATTCTTCAGAAAAAAAACTACAGCCTTTTCCTTCTTCTTAATTACCATTAATCTCCTTCCACATTCTCTTTCTGAACAGATGAGCCCAGCCTATGAGAGGTATTTGAAGCCACTTCTTCACAACACACTGTCAAAATTATGAAGACCATGATCTGAGTGCAGGCCACACATTTCCTCCTGTTCTCTGTGCAGCAGAGTACACTTGTGAAGCATCAGTAATGATTAATCAGAATTAATAATCAGTTGCAACAAGCAGGAAACAAGATCCTCAGCCAGCCATTTGCATTTAATCAGACAGAAGCCAAGCAGTGCTGAGTGGTACCCACTGCTACGAGGCAATCTAGTCAGAAATAGCCTAGGGTTTGCCATTTTCTAACCTGAAAGTGTCCTGATGGCATCAAAACTATGCCATTTTGATTTCTTACGCTTTTTCTAAATCCACTGTATGATGATTAAGAAAAAAAACCACATTACGAGCTCCCCCCAGTGTGTTATAACTGTACCGTGACTTAAAAAAAAAAAAAAAAAACCCACAACCAAAAAAACCTCCACTTTACTGAAAAACCTGAGGAATGTAGAAATTGTAGTCCTTGGTTTCTAGGAACAACTTGTTCTCTTGGATCAAGAAGTATATTAGAAAGTACATTTGTTTGGACAACTAAAATGGCTCTTAACTCGCTCAGGAGTGGAGTATTCCTGGCTAATGAAGATTCAGACAAAGCTGATGCCAGCTCCAGTCTGTAGAATTTACTTTCTCGTTAACAGAGCCGCTCATACTGTCTTCCCATAAATCTTGGGCTCCAATAAAGTCTATTATTTGGAATACTGCTTCTCTAATTATTATACTTCGTAATTACGGAAAGGGCAGGCTGATCCAGGCCAGCCATTAATTTGCAAGTAAATGAAGTGTCGCAAAGAACATCTTGTGATTATAATTCAATGCCAGTTAACACAGATATTTCTTACCACGTGTTGCAGCAAAGAAACAACTACTTTTCCCGAGCTTCATCAGTTCAGCTTTTCATTCCCCTCTTATAGGAAGAGCAAAGCTCTTACTGCCTCTTATTACAAAAGTCAAAATCCCTACAACATATGAAGGGGGAGAGACAAAATATGACAACTTCACCCCTGAGCCAGGCCTTCTGAGTGAGAGACGGGATGGAAAGCTCCCACCTCCAAGAACCAGCAGCTACCGTAGAAACCCAAACCCCCTCATACAGCCCCAAAGAGCTGTGGTCAGCACAGCCCAGAGAGCAAAGCAGTTGTGGTGAGGAACACTTACAACAAGAACATCACAGGAGCATGTGAGCCATTCATCAAAACAAGTATCAACTCTTACTCCCAACAGCATTAACAACTACGATGAAGTGCGCAAGATAAGCAGAAATGGCTCATCAAAATTTAGTAAAACCACAGAACTTGAGTGCCTCGTCTTGAACATCAGCAGAAACAGCTGAACAGTTAAAATGTTATATGTAAAGTCACTAGATAAATCACTGACAAACCCAATAATGTTACTTAGCAGCTACAAGTATTTAGGCTCTCTGTTCCCTCCCTATCCCTTTGGCCGGTACAAATACTTGCCATCCTTTTGTTAGTCATAATGCAGTTTTCAAAACACAAGCTTTTTCTATAATGACAGTTGAATCAATCGATTAAGACAAAAAGGAACAAAGTACCTCCGTAATGGAGAAGCATGGAGCCCTACCAGCACATCTGAACTACTGTGCAGAATGGAAAAACAGGGTTTGGGTGGGTTTTTTTGTTTGGTTGGTTTTGGTTTTTAAGTATTAGAGTACCAGAAGACAAAAAAAATACAAAATAGTATTCTGTACTTCACATTTTTTTTATTAGCTTCTTGCTGGCAGGCATTACACTTGGGAATAATATTGCACCAGGCATTAAAAATACGAATTCTACCACAGGGACATTTTGCATTTAGAATCCAATATAAATATATTTCTAATCATATTTCCATGGCTACAGATAATATTTGGTTGCTTGATTTATATGCATAGAAAGAAACAGTTGTCATAACTGTAAGAAACTGTACTTATCAAGTACTTTTAAAGGGTGGCATTTGTTTTCCTAGGATATTACAATACTGTTTATTTATTTAGAAACTAAATTAGTCTACATGATAGCAGCTTCCCCCCAACTGCGTTTTAAATTCTGTTTGTTCCTTGCTCCCAGTATCATAGCATTAGGTGGATTAGAAACCATTTAAACGGAGGTAATTTTAGCACTTTAAGTTGCATCAGAGACTTGCGTTAATGACACAAAATACCCTATTGTACTAATTCTTCGGACTCCCTCTTTCAAACAAAAAGGTGTCTTGACTGAACAGGCACATGCATGTTTTTTTCTGAACAGGACAAAAGGACAGAGCTGCTAGAGAATGAAACTCCTCCAGTCCTTACTGATAAACAATAAATAGTCGTATAAAAAAAAAGCCCACATTGTTGCTCTAGTCAAAATCCAGACTCTCTCGGGTTTACTGTCCAATTAAGTTGCTAATCACTGAAGTGGCTCCTGTGGAGTCAGAATCAGTCATCTGTTTTCCGTGCCAGTCTACAGAAAGTCCAGTTGTGCTCCACTGTGTTTTCATTGGCACGCTCGCTCATATGATGAACCCTGGTATTCCTGATCGTGAAGCCTTGCTTTGTGATGTACTCCATCAGATGGACTCGGAGCGACACTTCCTGGTGGTAATCGCATGGCCCAAAAGTGAAGGAAACCTGGCAGTCCCTGGTGTCCATCATATGCTTATTCCACTTCGTGAAGTGGTTTGAAATGCCTTCCAGCAACGAATGGACTTTTGTCGTGATAGTGAGCTGCGTGATGATGACAGCCACTGGGTTGGAGTACTTGGAAAGCTTCCGGGTGCTGGACAGCTCCACCACCTCCTCGAAGGTATCCACGGGATACAGCGGCTTGGGGTCGTTAAGACACTGAATTAGCGGTTCGATCTGATAGAAGTCCGCTTCTTTCCGAAGTAAGTCAAACTCCTTGAAGTCCAGTGGCAAAGTGAGCTCTGAGGTCCTTAAAAAGTTAAGAACATAACGGAAAAGTGGTCCATCTCTGTCAATAAAGTAATTGCCCTGAGAGTCCCTGGCAGTGGGGAAGTCTCCCCTGAACATTGCCCCAAGCATTGAGTCAGGATATCTCGTTAAAGTTGTGAGGGATGTCGTATACATGTGTCCACCCACATTTAGCGTGACTGGATCAGTCATCTAGAAAGAGAGAAATTGCAGAGTTTATCAAGCCACCACAAGAAGATTCAATCACCTCACTGACACACACTGCAAACACTGCTTGAAAACTGCAGGCTCTGGAGAGAATCACACTTCTCCCATTCGAAGCCTTTCAGCGGTGTTTAAACCCGAACAAGTCCAAGCCACCTAGCAACAAGGCACAACTGGCAACTAGACAGGATGATACTTAACATTCAGAACACACATTTCCAGAATGCTTTAGAAATCTTAACAACTGAGCTACTGCCACAGAAGTAAGTTTTGCATTTGGGCAACAAGTTTTTTTCCTATTCTACAGACGGGGAAATGAGAACAGAGAGACTTCCTGAAGAACAAGTTAGTCAGAATGAGGCCCATCAGTGTTCCTTACTTTCACAATCTGTCTCATTCTAGAACAAAAAAAAAAAAAAAAAAAAAAAAAAAAAAAAAAAAAAAAAAAAAAAAAAAAAAAAAAAAAAAAAAAAAAAAAAAAAAAAAAAAAAAAAAAAAAAAAAAAAAAAAAAAAAAAAAAAAAAAAAAAAAACAACACAGAAAGAAAGAAAGGAAAAAAAAAAACCAAGTCCTAAGCCTCTTTCTCTCCCTCAAAAGAGGATGACAGTGCAAGTTTAGACACAGGACCAAGAGCTCACAACCAAAATAATCCATGCTCTGCTTACGAGGCTTCAAGGAAACAAAAAAGATCTTTCAGCTTTTAACTCTAAAAAGAAATATTTATTAGCAAATTAGCAAGCTGCATAGAAGCAGGGGGCAGAGCACAAACCAGTCTGCATCAGTTTCCAGATAGCACATGAGGAAGCAAGAGAGAAAGGAACATAAATCCCATCTGGCCACCAACCCTGACAACCAGGACCGAGGCCAGCCAGAGAAGAGAGACATATGCATGGCAGCAGAATGTTTAGAGAAAGAGAAGAGGAGAAAAATAAGACGCATTTGTCTAGTTTGAAACAGGGTTTACTATGGAAAATACTTTTCTTTATAAATAAAATTACAAAGTCCTTAAAATTACATGCAGGAAGCACAAACTACTTTAAGCCTTTGCATGTCAGGAGAACAGTAACAGTGAGCTGAAGGCGTCAGTTAAGCACTCGGTGATTGTACCTAGGAAATATGAATCTGAGCACTCCCCACAAATAGCATGTGGGGTAAAGCACTCCAGAAAATGCAAGTAAGCTGTCCTAACACGCACAGTGCTTCTTCTCACATGACTGAAGCTCTGGATCTACACAAGACAGATCTGGAAGGATTCTTACCGCAGGATCTTGACAGCCCAGCTGTACCGCACAGCGCACACTTGGGCAGGCTCACTTACCATATATCCCCAGTCTCCATTATCCATCTGTTCAATTGCTTGAACTGTGGTATTCCAAGTTCAACAGAAGGCTGCTGAAAGGATACGCGATTCACCTCTTCTTATCTCCCTGCAGGAAAAAGCACACACAAAACATGGCAGACTGTCAGTACCTACAAGAACAACCAAGGAGAACGCTTTCTAATCAAAGGCAGGCTCTCTGCCAGGAGAGCATTCGGCTACAAAGCCACATTAGTAGGAGAATCTACAAACAAGATTTTCCTTCCTTCTCCCTTCATGCTGCCCACAGGACTGCCTCCGGAGCACACGGGTAATCACTCCACCAGCTGTCTGACCATCCCAGTTTTGTTAAATAACAAGAAATGTGCCTCTGAAGATACCGTACATTCACAAACAGACTACTTTTCACCTGGGAAACTGCAAGTACTTTGAAAGACAGATGTCCTTTTTCCCAATTAAAAAAAGTGTATTTAGCCACCATTGAGGTCATACATGTGATCCACTAACATCAGTCAAAATTCCCATGCTCCAGTTTCAAACTGCACAGAAGAATAAACCAAGCATTAAAGTCAATGAACA